CGGCCCCCTCATAACAAGCCAGCAGGAGAACCCCCTCCAGTCTGCGATGGCAAGATCTTGTATGATATCGCCTAGCTCCGTGGTCGGCAAACTGCGGCTCGTGAGCCACATGCGGCTCTTTGGCCCCTTGAGTGTGGCTCTTCCTAAGCCTTAGGAGTACCCTAATGAAGTTAATCACAATGTACCTACCTATATAGTTTAAGTTTAAAAAATTTGGCTCTCAAAAGAAATTTCAATCGTTGTACTGTTGATATTTGGCTCTGTTCACTAATGAGTTTGCCGACCACTGGCCTAGCTGATGGAACTGCTATCCCACCACATGCACAGATCCTGCTCATGCTCTGCAGGCAGAAGTCGGTATTTTGTGGAAGAGCCACACTCAAGGGGCCAAAGAGCCGCCTGTGGCTCGCGAGCCGCAGTTTGCCGACCACTGGTCTAGGGAAGGGGATGACAGGGCGTGTACACGGGGGGTGGGGGGGCAGGAATCCCGGGGCCATCTTAGAATGTCGCCTCCACCCCTTCATTTGTCCCTGAGCCGGCTTTGCTCAGCTGCTGGCTCCAGCCTGTGCTCTGGCTCCTGCTGCCCTGGAGCTGCTGCTGGTTCAGGGCTCCACACGACACCCCCTCCCTCCCTGGGCACCAGGGCCCCCCATGTTTACTCCTTGCCGAGACCACGTGTCAGCTGACTGACTGCCGGCTTCACGGCCATCCTCTCCTCAAGACCCAATCATTTCCCCGGGGGCTCTCAGCCGCCTGCCTCCAGCATGAATGTCCCTGCCTCGACCCAGCCGTGAAGGCTGGTCAGCCCTTCCCTTCCGGGGTAGGATTCAGAACCTGCAGGTGACTGACACGGGCCAACCCTAAGCCCATGACCTCCAACCGTGCCAGCCACCTGCTGCCCCTCTCCCTCTCCCTTCCTCGGATACTCCATTTTGCACGGGGCCCACCCTGATTCACAATGCTGCTGTCTGCAGGGTCGTGTTTTTAAAATGTGTTTCTCCCAGATCTTTTGATTCTCACACAGTTCCCTTTAGAATCTGAATGGTTGCCAAACCGGTTTGGCTCAGTGGCTAGAGCGTCGGCCTGCGGACTGAAGGGTCCCAGGCTCGATTCCGGTCAAGGGCATGTACCTTGGTTGCGGGCACATCCCCAGTGGGGGGCGTGCAGGAGGCAGCTGATCGATGTTTCTCTTTCATCGATGTTTCTAACTCTCTATCCCTCTCCCTTCCTCTCTGTAAAAAATCAATAAAATATATTTTTTTTAAAAAAGAACCTGAGTGGCTACATTATCAGTCCAATTCCTTCTCACCTCAACACACGGTTCCTCAACTTCTTAGACTTATCGACAGGAACTCTGGTCCCAAGAGTCTCTCCTGTCCGTCCCCACCCCTCCAGCCCTCACTTTCCTACAACCTTCCCACCAGAGCACCGTGAGGAGTTGCACGCATGCCCTCCAAAGAAACTTTTGACTTGACAAAACTTGTCTTAGTTTTTGCAACTCTGTTTGTCATGCTAGAGGTATTTCCCCCCAAAAGAACTATTTTCTGAGTCATCAGCAGACTGTTATCCTGTTACCATGGCTGTCTTCTCTCAAAGAAAATTTAGAGATTTTGAAAATTCACGTAGATGAGACTGAGACGTTTTTATCTGCAAATTCCTCTTTGGTGCAGATTAAAACTGTTGATCTTTTTATAAGTAAATTACTATAGTCAAATTTCACAAACATGCAGGGCACCAAGAGAGTTTTTTTAAAAAACACATTTTTATTGATTTCAGAGAGGGAGCTAGAACCATCAATGATGAGAGGGAATCATGGATCGGCTGCCCCCTGCACGCCCCACACTGGGGATCGAGCCTGCAACCCGGGCCTGTGCCCTGACCGGGAACCGAACTGTGTCCTCCTGGTTCATGAGTTGATGCTCAACCACTGAGCCACGCCTGCCAGCACCAAGGGAGATTTTTAAGTCCTTTATGTCTGGGACTAAGAATACCAGCTAGACTTGCCTTTCCTGATGACTCCAAATTTTACAAAGAGTAATAGATGAAGAGTCACCCTGGAGTCATCCACATGTAAATATTAATATCTCTCTATATTAGTGCCATGGTTGACTTTAAAGAGGTGCCAAACGGTGCGCCTCTCTCCCCCTTCCACTAACTTGCCACCATGCCTGACGTCACACCTTTGCATGCTTTCATCTTAACCTTAGAGACTTTTTGCTCTTTAGGAATCCCTCTATCATTTCGTTTTATATATTTCCTACAATTGGTTTTTAGAGAGAGAGGAAGAAAGAAATATCCATGTGGGAGTGAAACACTGACAGCTGCCCCTCCCCCCCCCAAATCGGGATCAAGCAGGAAACCCAGGCATGTGCCCTGACTGGGCATCAAACCGGTGACCTTTCAGTACACAGGACGACGCCCAACCCACCTTGCCCCTCCCCCCCTCGAGGCACACTGGTCAGGGCTACCTTATTTCTTATATAAATTAAACATTTTACTTTGAGATCACTGTAAACTTAAATGCAAAAAAGTGATATAAATGGAATCATACAGTCGATAGCCTTTTAAAAATATTTCTTTATTAAGTTATTACATATGTGTCCTTATCCCCACATTACCCCCCATCCCCCCCACTCATGC